TCAAAATCCTGAATAATCTCTGTAATTTTTATTCATCTATCTCAAACAATAAAGCGCTACACTCATGACTCTCCCTGTATAGAAAAATTTTATTGAGAAAGATGTTATGTATAAAATGAAAAAATATTTCAATTTAAATGAAAAATCTTCGAAACATTAATATTGAATATGTAACTGTTGCTATATTTTGAAAATAATTGACATTAGATATTTATATTATTTTCAGACTTACATTTCATCGTTGAGTATCAGCCTTCTTTCTTCGTATCTTTTCATCTTTATTTTCTGAAGTATAATTCATTATATTTTTTAGCGTAAATTGAGTATTATTTTTGAACATTTCAATTCAACAATCTTTTTTATATGATTAAATGTTTTATTGGAAATACAGGGTAGTGAAACTTTTTAAAACATAATTTTGATAACTCAAAGAATATAAATTATTCATAATAAAAATTCCACATAAATATAATATATGAAACAATTTAATTACGATATGCAAGGTGAGTCATTGAAATAGGAAAGTGAGATAATAGCTTTGCTATTAGAAATAGATGAACGAAAATTTTTATAATGATCTATACTCATGAGCAGCATATTTCCAAAATATTTCTCAATATACAAGATGACTCAAAAATACGTAACGTTTCAAAATTATACTTTTTCTAATAAATAGGACACCCTATATTTCATTGCATTTTTGAATTCTGATTTGTGAGGTGATTCCATCAATACATCACACTTGAAATCTAGCGGAAATGATTACAAAGATATAATGTGTTTGAAATCGAAATTTTTCAACTTTAGGATTTTTTTGTCTAGAAACTATTCTTTATTGGTCAAAACTGCTTACATGTCCCCATTTCAACTTTCTATCAACTATCTACTGATATTTAATTTAGACAAATACAGGGTGGTTCATAATTCTGAATATTTTGAACTACCCTGTATTCGTCTAAATTAACTATCATTAAACAGTGAATAAAAAATTAGGATAAGAATATGTAAACCATTACACTTAATAATGAATAGTTTCGAGAAAAAAATTCTAAATTTGAAAAATCTCGATTTTGAACACCCTATATCTCTGTAATCACTCTCGCTAGACCCCAAGTATGATACATCGATGGAATCAGCTTACAAAGAAGAATCCGAAAATGCATTAAGATATAGAGGGTGTCCTATGAAAAAAAGTATGATTTTGATACGCCATACATATTTAAATCATCCTATACAGAGTGTCCGGAAATTATGCGCAAACAATCAAGGGGGTGATTTTACATAATGAAATAAGAGATTCATTTCATATGAACCTAGGTCCGGAAATGCATAGTTTTCAACATACAGTGTGTTGAAACTTTTAAAAAAGATCAGTTTTTTATGAATATCTCTATATGTCTTACCACCGATTCCCTTGAAATATGGCAATGCTATTTTTTGTCATGAGGGGCTGATATACCCATAATTCAATTGGAATCTTGGAATCCAGTGGCGTCCCAATGGGCAACCTACCGAATATTATTGTCAATAAAATGTGCGCCACTGATTTTTTCGAATTCTGTATCTTCATAACCTATTGACCAACTAAAAATACAACATTTTGGTCTCCTGAATTGTTTTGCTATTTCGCTGCGTTTCCGTGGAAAAAAATAAATACCAATGCATTGTATGAATGTGCTGTGCAAAATATTGCTTCAAAAATAGGGGGGAAATTAAATGTGTGATCCATGTCCATAGACGTAGAATAAGAATGAAGAATAATTGTCTTCATATATTTTATAATATATGTTTGACACACTCTACACTCAGTATATTGAGAACTATGTATTTTCGGTCCAGGAAGGCGTAGTTTTCGATAATACAAAGTGTGTCAAACATGTATTATGAAATATTTCAAGAAAATGAATCTCCATTCTTATTCTACGTCTATGGACATGGATCACACATTTAATTTCACCCCTGTTTTTGAAGCTATGTTTTGCACAAATCTATCACAATGAATTGGTATTTATTTTTTTCCACGAAAACGTGGAACAATAGCAAAACAATTCAAGAGATCAAAATGTTGTATTTTTAGTTAATCATCAGGATATGAAGATGATGAATTCAAAAAAATCAGTGGCGCACATTTTATTGACAATAATATTTGGTAGGGTGCCCCTGGGACGCCACTGGATTCCACAAATCCAATTCAAATTATGGTTGAATCAGCCCCTCATGACGAAGAATATCATCGCCAAATTTCAAGGGAATTGGTGAAAGAATATCTGATATATTCATAAAAAACCGATTTTTTTTAGAAAATTTAACACACTGTATCTTGAAAACTATGCATTTCCGGACCCAAGTATATATAAAAAAAATTTCATGTTTTCACATGCAGAATCACCCCCTTGATTTTTTACGCATAATTTCCGGACACCCTGTATACATACAATGATCCCAAAATATTCTATTCATAAGCCTAGATCATCACGAGGATTTTTATTCATCTATGTCAAACAGCGAAACCGTTATCTCACTTTCCTATTACAATAATTCACCGTGTATACAAGGTGGCCCACGGTCGATGGTATCTTAGACATATACGGAAAACGGTACATTGAATTATCCTAAAAATTTTATTACTCTAATAAGCGTTTGTGATCTAACGATTCAAAATATTTTCAGCGATGCAGCGTTACCACTTTTACCAAAAAGTAGCATCATCTTTGTTATTTCAAATAGAACACCCTGTATTTCATTGCGTTTTTAGATTCTTCTCGAAGAGCTGATTTCATCAATGTATCACATTTAGGGTCTAACAGGAATTATTACAGAAATATAGGGTATTCAAAATCGAGATTTTTCAATTTCAGGAATTTTTTGAGTCGAAACTATTCATTATCAATCAAAACAGCTTACATGTCCCTATCTCAACTTTTGATTCACTATCTACTAACATTTAATTGGAACAGATACATGGTGATCAAAATTCTAAATCATGGACCATCCTGTATTTATTCGGTAAATTCGGTGTAAATATCGGTAGATAGTCAATCGAAAGTTAATATAGGGACATGTAAGCCGTTTTGACCAATGATGAATAATTTCGACACAAAAAAATCCTAAAATTGAAAAATCTCGATTTTGAACACCCTATATCTCTGTAATAATTCCTGCTAGACCTCAAGTGTGATACATTGATGAAATCAACTATTCGAGAAGAATCTAAAAACGCAATAAAATACAGGGTGTTCCATTTGAAATAACAAAGATAATGCTACTTTTTGGTAAAAGTGGCAACGCTGCTTCGCTAAAAATATTTTGAATCATTAGATCACGAACGCTTATTAAAGTAACCAAATTTTCAGGATAATCTAATGTACCGTTTTCCGTATACGTTTAAGGTACCATCGACCGTGGGCCACCCTATATAATGTAGAATTTCTAAATATTTTTTTAATAATTATATACAGGATGATACATCTTAGAAAATTATGTCGAATTGAAATTTGAAAAAATATTTTATGTATTATTTTCATTTTTAATGAAATATTCATTTGTTTTTTTTCAAATTTCAAATAGTATATTATGTAACAAGTGTTATAAAAGTCCTTTTAGCAACGAGTAGTTTAAGCACGAGCAGAGCGAGTGTTTAGAAGAATTTATAAACGCGTTATATACTATGATTTTTCTACGAACTCTAAAAATTATACATTAATTAACATACCTGCTATTCCTGCTAATCTACAAAATAATTCGAAAAGAATGGGAATTGAAAACATAATACATACAACTGCAAGCAACCAGCGAGACAAGTATAAGTGATATTGGTTGTAGATCTATACAGTCCATTGCTTACTAACCTTTGTTTCACGTTTATTGTCATGCTTAGCGCTGAATAAATAAATTGTTCTCAAAGATAGATGCTTCATTTTTACACTTCTTGGAGGTATATAATAAGTACCTGAACATTCTCTTCGATTTCACTCTCGTCTATTTTTCGCATATATTTTTAATGAAGAATTCCGATACTAACGAATATTGTTTGAATAATTCTGATACAAAAAAATATGAAAATAACAGTTGACAGTTAATACAACTGACAGGCCAGACATGTCTCGAATTACTGAAGCTGTGTTTAATGAACTGCGTTGCCATGGTTATGTGTTTAAGAAATCGTGTTGCCATGGTAACATGTTTGATATTTTGAATAAATCACAGATCGACAATCCGTGATTAATCGATCATTTAGCCATTTTAGTTATGTGAATAGAAAAAACTGTTTACTCATACATTTTCTAATTATTATTATTATATGAATATTGAAAAAATATAGAAAAAAATTTCAGATGCAATAAAATTTGCATATTCCAATATACTTTATTCGACATATTTCTTAATAAAAATAATGAAGAAATTCACAACAAATAAAATCATTCATGAGATGTATTCATGAAATTTTAAAACAAAATATAATATACATGTTTCAAGGAGTTTTTTGTTTCTCGAAATCAATATATTCTTTGAGTTATTCAAAATTGCATTACAAGAGAAGCATCTAGTCTGTATGATTTGAATTTGGAAAAAATAATGTACAAACTCAATAAATATTGATTCGATTGCATTGTAACTATATGAATATAATGAAATGAAATATGATTTTATATTATGATATACTAGAAATATATTGTATGATATAATAGATTTTGAATAAATAAAAAACTATTTAACAATATCTTGAGTATTTTTCAAATACCAATGTCCTATAGTGAAATTATAAAAATGTTTTCATAATGAAATATTTCAAGTTGAAAAATATAGATACAAATTATTATTTTATCGAATTTATTTTTTATATATTTAAATAATGGTGTGATGATTCATTGAATTTCTTTATTTTTTCAAAAGTGGAAATTTAATTATTTTTTTATAGAGAAAAATCAACAAATGACAAAAATATTGATAATAATTGTTCCTTTTCTTTTTTTTTTTAGTGAATACAAATCCCAAATAAAATGGAGAAAAATGGAAAAGATAAAATTTTGAATAGACATTTGACAATTTCATTCGAAAATTTAGAAGGTGAGATTGAATTGATAAATACATGTATTGAAAGAACTATTTCTACAACTGATACTTGTATTCGTCATATTCAATCTAATCTCTCTAACGATTCTAATGAAAATAATGAAATTTTTGAATTTGACAATGATGGAAATTTAATCATATTGAATCAACATTTTCATCATGATCTGGAAACAGTTAATCATTCTTTGATAGTTCAATTAAATGATCGTGATAGACATGCTGTTGACGATCGTGTATTGATCGACTCATGTTATTTGAGTATTAATTTGAATCAACATGATCGTGATATGGTCGACAACAGAATGTTAATCATGACGAAAAATTTAATGATTCATATTAATCGTATATCAGATACGTTATTAGAAACATTTTTAAATTTGAATCAAATAATGGAGGCTGATGTTTGTAATGATATTCAACACGATTATACAATCACCAACATCATTTCTACTAATAATACTTCTTCACAAACACGACATAATACTATACAACACGAATTAATAATTATTTTGAACGATTCTGATAGAAATGCTGTAGATAACAGATTTTTAGTGGAATCACGAAATTTAGTTATTGAATTACCACAACCATACCATTCCTTAATAGCAAATGATGAATATTGCACCGATTTATTGAAGGTTATTTTAACGCCACTTCCCATACGTGCAATGGTATCTTCTTCTGACGTATCCCAATCATCATTGTCATCGATCCCATCGATTATACCACAATTATCATCACCACCACCATCATCATCATCACCTCCATCATTGCTGACACGATCACAAAGACGACAACAATCAATGTCTCCTATTCCAATAATTGTCGGACAACAAAATCCCAATGATATGAATCAAAGGGTTAGACATGCCGAAGTACCACATAGGGTAACATTTCGTTTAGCTCTTCGTACTCAACATGTACAACAAATTGATACTTTTCATTTGGGATCTTTCTCCGACACGTGCAAATTCTGCTTGGCAGAATTTTTCACCAAAGAGCCGAAGAACCGGCAAGGAAATCGAAAAATTTGTTGTCATTTTGGTCAAGTCAATATTCCATTTTTGCAAACCTATCCTGATGATATGCGTGAGTTGTTCGTGATGAACGACGAAATCTCGACAATCTTTCGTCGAGATATTCGTCGTTACAATACCATTTTCGCTATGGCCTCTTTTAAAGCGAACATTCCAGAAAATAGAAATATTGGGCAAGGCCATTGGTGTTTCCATGTTTGCGGTCAAATTTATCACTACGTGGATAAAATCCCAACAGCCAATGACATCGCCGCTCTAGATGGTCCTCTGAAGTACAACCAATATTACTTTGTAGATGCAGAAGAAGCGGTCAACAGAAAATCTCATTTCTACGGAGATGTTGTCAACAAAGATATTGTTAGTTTATGTGAACTTAGTTTGAGAAGAGTCAACCCTTATATTAGATCTTATTTCACTATGGCAGAAGTTGTTCGTGGAATGCGTTCCCTAGGAATGCCTATAAATGATGTCTCCATAGCATTCAAAGATCGGATGGCAGAACGACTAAGAACATATAATCTTCCAGCAACTACCACCACCGAAGTTGCAGCACTTTTCGTTGGAGAAGAACCTCCATTTTCCTGTGATCTTATAGTCCATGATCGTGAGGGAGACGACATCAGGAAATCTTTTGAATTAAAAAATCTAAACCCATTAGCTGATCCAATGGTTTATCCAATTTTATTCCCCAAAGGTGAAAGAGGATTTGAGATGTACACCAAACTCGTTTCGAACCCAAGGCCAGTTGTACTTCGTAATGAAGAACAACCACAACGTCCACGTATTGCAATACGTAGACATGTGGTTGACAACATAGATGACGATCCTCAAGAAGAATTTCCCATTCAAGATGTCGAAGGTTATGACCTACCGAATCGCAAGAAACGGATGTACGTAACTTTGAGACAATTTTATAAACATCGTTTGATGATTCGTTCGAAGAGGCCAACCAATTCGAACATTATCGATGATAATGGTATTGTCGATACGAATCATGAAACGTATAACGCGCAAAACGGATTCATTGCTCTACATCATGCAGGAAAATTATTTCAACAATATTGCGTCGATGCTTGGGTCCGTGTAGAAGCAAATGATTTATGGTATTATCGCCAAAATCAAAAACAATTGAGGTCGTCATCTTATAAAACTGTTAAAAAAATGCTTCAAGATAGAGCTAGAAAAGAAAATAAACGTGTCGGTAAAATAGTTATTTTACCTTCTACGTTTATTGGCGGTGAGAGAAACCTGCAGCGCAGGTATCTCGATGCCATGACTATGGTAGCGCGGCACGGTAAACCTGATTTGTTTATCACGTTTACGTGCAATCCTGGTTGGCCAGAAATCAAAAGTAATCTTAGATTACATCAAAAATGGGAAAATAGGCCTGATTTGGTGTGTCGAGTTTTCCACGCCAAATTGCTAGAATTCATAGATGACATCACCGCCAAACAATATTTTGGAGTTTCACTCAACTATATGTATACAGTGGAATTCCAGAAACGAGGTTTGCCGCATGCTCACATTCTCTTGACCCTTAGACCCGAAGACAAATTAGATACTGAAGCCAGCATCGATGCTGCTGTATCCGCCGAGTTACCAGATGCATATGAGGAGCCCCGTTTGTATGAAATCATATTACATCATATGATACATAAACCTTGCGGCCGTCGAGATCCCACTGCTTCGTGTATGGTGGATGGTCATTGCAAGAAATTTTACCCGAAAGAATTTCGGACGACAACAGACATACGTGGCAATCAGAATCGTCTTGGACAACCCGAATATAAGCGGCCCGATGATGGGCGGGTAGCAGTTATGGGTGGACATCTAATCGATAATCGCGATGTCATTCCATACAACAAATTATTGTCGGTCAAATACGATTGCCATTTGAACGTCGAACTGTGTGGAAGTTTAAAGTCGATAAGGTATTTATACAAGTATGTAGAGAAGGGACCCGACTTTATATCTGTACAGCATGCTGTATCAGATGATATCGCCCCCCTTCGAGAAGAAAATGCCATTATGGGTACTTTTACCGCCTTCAGTGCGAATGATAATAACAATCATCGTGATCGTCAACGTGATGTTGTTGATTGGAATGAAATCGAGAATTATCAAGATTACCGATACGTTAATTCAATGGAGGCCTGTTGGCGATTATTCGAATACAATATCAGCGATAGATCCCATATGGTAATAGTTCTACCAATTCACGAAGAAGGCGACCAACAAGTATTATTCGACGAAGGTCTCGATGAAACAGAAGAGCAATTTTTGGAGAGAATTGATGGTCCCACAAAATTAGTAGCATACTTCATATTGAATCGTTCTGATCCGGATGCGAGATTGTTAAAATACTGCCAAATCCCAGAACATTATTCTTGGAATTTTAATAGAAAGATGTGGCAACGTCGCAAAAAGAATTGCAAAGTCATCGGATGCTTAGTACAAGTTTCTCCAATTGATCAAAATCGATTTTATTTGCGCACGTTGCTACAACATGTACGAGGAAGTACAAGTTTCCGTTCTCTAATGACAGTGGACGGTGTCGTTTACGAAGATCCTAAATCGGCTTGTCGTGCATTGGGTCTCCTCAATAATACCGACGAATATGATCGTACTTTGCAAGAAGCTATATTGACGAGATGTCCGTTCATGAGTCGTCAATTGTTCGGTTTATTGGCTTGTCTGATAATCACTGACAAAGGCGATTTTGAAAATATCTCGGCAATGTGGCTTCGACACAAAGCCGATTTATATTCTGATTTTATCGATCACGGTATTATCGACATGAATACTGCCGAACGAATGGCATTATTTCATATAAATCATGTCATTCGTAGGTGTGCTCTAGGTGGAGATCGATACACTCTAGCCGATTTAGGATTGCCCAATATCGATGATGTCGACGAAGACATTTTTAGGAATGTCATCGTTGACATTGACGATTTCACTCGTAATGGGGGGATTTCTTTTCAAAATTTAAATGCTTTTATAGTAAACGACATGGTCGTCGATGATAATTTAATGGGGAATATTGATGATGAATTCAATTTGAATATTGACACTGACATTATAGAAGGAAACGTCATGTTGGAACAATTATTAAATAGTCGAATTATTGATGAAAATATACAATCTCTCAATACGGATCAGAAAAAGATATTTGACGACATATTTTCTACATTATCTGATTCAATAACCAACAACATCAATACCAACAATAATACTGATAACATCAATTCTCATCGGAATTTGTTCTTCATTGACGGTCCCGGTGGCACTGGCAAAACTTTTCTATACAATTGTATTATCGGTAAAGTCAGGCACGATTTGGCCAAGTCAGTTTTAGCGGTAGCATGGACGGGAATTGCGGCAACACTTTTATCTAAAGGTACTACTGTACATTCTGCGTTCAAACTACCTTTGAAATTAACAGAAACGACCGTTCCCGGCTATCCTGTTGAAAGTATAAAAGCTCAAGTGATCAGAGAATCGCCCATCATCTTATGGGACGAAGCGCCAATGTCGCCGCGACTGGCAATCGAAGCAGTTGATCGATACTTGAGAGACCTAATGAATACCCCTAAAACACCGATGGGAGGAAAGATTGTGGTTTTTGGAGGAGATTTTCGACAACTTCTACCTGTCATGCCTCGAGCACATTCCGGCCAGATTATCAGAGCGTGCATCAAATCATCTTATCTATGGCCGATGGTGCGTCAGTATCGTCTTGAAAAAAATTTGAGAGTAAGCAACATATTGACTACAACAGCTGTTGCTGATGAAAACCAACTTCATCTTCGTCAAAAGGAAATCCAAGACTTTGCCCAATTTCTACTTCAAATTGGTAATGATGACTTACCACACATCAAAATGCCCATTGCATTTACTCCCGACGATCTAATTGAGATTCCATCTCGATTTGTCGTTGAATCCATCAACCAAATTGTCGAAGAAATTTTCGGCGCAGGTCCTATTGATCCCCTTATTCCCCAACAAGATCTTGCAAACAAGGCAATACTTTGTCCAACAAACAGAGCCGTTGAAGATGTAAATTCTCTTGTCATGTCCAAACTAACATCTGTCAGTCGCACTTATTTTAGTGTTGACAGTTTCGAACAATTGGCTGACGGAGAATCGCATCAACAACAAGATAACTTCCATGTACCCGAAGATTATTTGCATTCCATAATCATAGCTGGACTTCCACCACACGAGCTAACTCTCAAAGTAGGTAGCGTAGTTATGTTATTACGTAACGTCGACATTATGAGCGGCTTATGTAATGGAACTCGATTACGTATTCTTACTTTGGGAGATAATATGTTACGAGTGCAAATATTGACGGGTAGCACTGAAGCTCATCGCGGCAATGTTTTGTTCCTTCCTCGGATGCGTTTGTCTGCTTCTGAAAACGTAACCTACCTACCTGGAACTGTTTATCGGTACCAATTTCCGATACGACTAGCGTTCGCAATAACCATCAATAAATCGCAAGGTCAAACCTTCAAAAAGGTAGGGATATGTTTAGAAATGCCATGTTTTTCTCACGGACAACTTTATGTGGCTCTGAGTCGCGTAGGTGATCCAAATTTTTTGAAGATTTATATTAAAAATTCATCGAAACAAGGCCATTTCAAATACAGAAACAGACACTTCACAAGAAATATCGTTTATTCTTCCATAGTAACCACTAACAAAAATAACACACAAAATCCACAATCAAACATTAAATTACGATCAGAAACAACAACAACTAAAACATTACAAACAACAACAAGAACAACAAGAACAACAACAACAACAATGAAACCTACAAAACCAACATCTGTTTTACCACCAGTTCCGGATCGTAATGACAATCGCATTCGAGTCATTGAGAATATTGTTATTGTTCCTCCACTTACCACAACAAATATTACCATTAACACTACAACTTCAAATTTGAATATCCCCCAAACATCACCACACAAACATAATATTCACACTCTCAATACAAATGACATGAATTTTCAAAATTTTTCCGATGAATTTCAACCAGAAATTGTCGAATTCAACGATGAAATCGAAGAACACTGGCCAATTCCATATGAAATTGATAGAGAAAATATTGAAGAGAAATGTCAACCGAAGGTTGTACGCGGTACAATTACCATCACATCACCCACAGTTACTATGGATGACGAAGCATTAGCCTCTTGTGACGAAGATCTAGATTATGATGCACAACCAAAAACAGTTTTCAAGAAACCATTACCTCCAACTGCTTTTCCATCATTACACCAATTGCCTGCTAGACGATCAGTTCATGATCGACCAGGTACATCAGGTGTTATCGTTGAAAAAGTAGATGAAAGTAATGAGGAAAAACGTCATCTTCGCCGTCCATATTTTTACTCTTCTCATAGTAGAAACAGAGATAGCGACGATGACAGTGATGATGAAAATGTTGATGATTATCAAAATAAATATATCTCGCATAAACTTAAAAAGTCCAAATTTAATTAATATTAATTAAATTTTATCTTTTCCACGTTTTTCGATCCATCATGATAACCATCCTACCTATGAGAAAACCTCCCGAAGTTGACACACCTCAATTTACCTACAATTCCATGGTTTGACGTAAGTTTCCTTATTCTTCATAATATTTCTATTCCTATCCGTCTTCCTCTCACTTTGACATGTATAATTCTCCTTATTCTTCACAATATTTTTCTTCCTATTCATCTTGCCCTTTTCTACAAAAACAAAAAAACAAAAAAATAAAATAAAAACAAAAATCCAAAAAAAAACAAAAAATCGAAAAATTCTAACAAAAAAATTGAAAACTGGAAATACAAAAAAATATATACATTAATAATATTATGATCAAGATATTTCAATAATAAATTTTTCAAAACAATTCTTGAACAAAACTCATAATAAGATTACAAAATTTTTCAAAATTTTCACATTTTTATTCATCATCATTATTTTTCTTATAAATATCATTATTATCAATATCATCAAATTTTTATTATTATTATCATTATCATCAATCTGATAATCTATTATTACTTTGAACATTTCATAAACTTTCAATTTACATAAATATCAATAAGTTTTTTTTCAATCAAATCCAACTATCAATCATTAAATTATTATTTATATTGAAAATATAGTTTCCTTATTCTTCATAATATTTCTATTCCTATCCATCTTCCTCTTACTTTGACATATATAGTTTTCCTTATTCTTCACAATATGTCTCTTCCTATTTATCTTCCCCTTTACAAAAAAATAAGAAAACAAAAAAAAAATAAAAAAATTAAAAAAGTGAAAATACAAAAAAATATAAACATCAATAATATTTTGATCAAGATATTTCAATGATACATTTCTCATAGCAATTCTTTATCAAAACTCATAATAAAAACAAATATTTCAAAATTTCTACATTGATACTCATTATTATTATTTTTCTTATCAATATCATTATTATCAATATCATTAGACTTTATTATTATTATTATTATTATCATTATTATTATGATCATGTACTATTATTTTGAAAATTTCATAAACTTTCAATTTACATAAATATCAATAAGTTTTTTTTTCAATCAAATTCAACAATCATTTATCAAATTATTATTTATATCGAAAATGGGTTAATAGGGCTATAGGCGAACCTCCCAATGAAAAAAAAGGTAACGCGCCTATTGTATTACCTCATTTAGGTGGTGTGGAAAAGTACATATTATTTAAATAAATATTATAATTTTTTATTATACAAATTTTGTTGATACATTTTCATTTCATATACTTTCTCCGTATAAGTTTTGATAATTATTTTTTTTCATACAATTATTTTCAATAATATAATTGAAATATCTATCAATATATTTATATTTATATGGATAATATATTATACAGGGTGTTTCCTAACTACGGTTCCTAACTGCAGGGGGTGATTTGTTAGGTCATTTCAAGAAAAAAAGTACCTATGAACATATGTTCGGAGTTGCTTCGTTTCTGAGATACAGGGCGTTGAACTTGAAGAAAAAAAAACGGTAATTATAAAATATCATGAATACCGATTTGGTTGAAATTTGAAATACAAGTTCTTATTTTCACTAAAAACCAAAATATCCGTTTTTGCTCACAGACAAGCTATATTTGGCATTACAATATGGAATGAAAATACTTTATGATTTATCAAAATTTCAAAATGTATTCCTTCTCATTTTATGAATTAAAATATAATTTAAATGAAACATTATTATATTTCAAGTGAAATTAATTTAATATTCATATTCACAGGTATTTACTACATTTTTATTAATTATTTGAGAAAAATTTCTACAAATTAACAAAAATAAATTTATATATTTATTATATGTTTTATATTGTATTTGATTTATTGCATTATATTACTAAATTATGTAAAATAGTTCTGTTTTTATGTATTAAATTATATATTCATTACACAATACCAATTCAAACTGCCATCCTACAACACGTGAAAAAACTACTCGGCCGTAGGCCGAGTTACACCAAATTAATTCGAATCGTCGTTCTACATCACATAAAAAAACACGAGGCCGTAGGCCGAGCTACACCAAATTAATTCGAATCGTCATTCTACAACACATAAAAAAACACGAGGCCGTAGGCCGAGCTACACGATATCAATTCAAACCGCCATCTTACAACACGTAAAAAAACTACTCGGCCGTAGGCCGAGTTACACAATATTAATTCAAACTGCCATCTTACAACACGTCAAAAAACTTCTCGGCCGTAGGCCGAGCTACACCGTATCAACTCGAACCGCCGTTTTTATCGTAACCGCCGTTCATATCGTACATTTTTATTAATTATTTGAAAAAAAATTCTTCAAATTTACAAAAATAAATTTATATATTTATTATAATGTTTTATATTGTATTTGATTTATTGCATTATATTATTAAATTATGTAAAATAGTTCTGTTTTTATGTATTAAATGATATATTTTTGACACAATACCAATTCAAACTGCCATCCTACAACACGTGAAAAAACTACTCGGCCGTAGGCCGAGCTACACCAAATTAATTCGAATCGTCGTTCTACATCACATAAAAAAACATGAGGCCGTAGGCCGAGCTACACCAAATTAATTCGAATCGTCATTTTACAACACATAAAAAAACACGAGGCCGTAGGCCGAGCTACACAATATCAATTCAAACCGCCATCTTACAACACGTAAAAAAACTACTCGGCCGTAGGCCGAGCTACACAATATCAATTCAAACCGCCATCTTACAACACGTCAAAAAACTTCTCGGCCGTAGGCCGAGCTACACCGTATCAACTCGAACCGCCGTTTTTATCGTAACCGCCGTTCATATCGTAACCGCCGTTCTATCGTGACCAGACAAACTATAGTAGACAAGAACTAATGGAACAATGAAAATCAACAAATAAATGAATATATGAAAAACTCTTTTTATATTACACAAATTCACGCGCGATAGTGATTTATACCACAACAATTATGGGCGTGGCTAGTTCACCCGCTAATAGGGAACGTGAGCTGGGTTTAGACCGTCGTGAGACAGGTTAGTTTTACCCTACTGATGACTCGTCGTTGCGATAGTAATCCTGCTCAGTACGAGAGGAACCGCAGGTTCGGACATTTGGTTCACGCACTCGCTCGAGCGGGCGGTGGTGCGAAGCTACCATCCGTGGGATTATGCCTGAACGCCTCTAAGGCCGTATCCTTTCTAGTCAAAGGTGGCAACGATATTTCTTGGAGTTCCGAGAGTCGAAAGGCTCAAAACAATGTGACTTTACTAGGTGGTCGCGGTTCGCCGCGACCGTCGCACTAGCCCTATTTACCGTTGGGATCAACGGTCGGCGGCGGGATCGATCCTTGTCGTGTCCGACCAGATCTCTTGACGGTCGATCATGGGTATTACAAACATTTCGATGTTGGAACTCGGAATTGTCTGTAGACGACTTACGTACCTGGCAGGGTGTTGTACCTGGTAGAGCAGTTTCCACGCTGCGATCTATTGAGACTCAGCCCTTAGCTTGGGGATTCGTCTTGTCGGATAGACGAGACCCCGAAACGAAATCAATCGGTGCGGAGAATACGCAAACGTGCCTTCTCCTGCACCCTCATGGAATGAACTACGTTCACCATTGTGTTAGCCGTTGTTCGTCTTCGAAACGATATCGTGGTTTTTACGATATCGAGAAGACGAACAGCGGCTTTTTTTTTCAACTTTTATATGGATTCACTTTCCATAAAAGTTCTAACTAGCTGCAGTTCGTCTTTGAAACGATATCGTGGTTTTTACGATATCGAGAAGACGAACAGCGGCTTTTTTTTTCAACTTTTATATGGATTCACTTTCCATAAATGTTCGAATTAGCCGTTGTTCGTCTTCAAAATTATATCGTCGATCTCACGATATCCAAAAGACGAACAGCGGCTTTTTTTTCCAATGAGTATATCGATTCACTTTCCATAATTGTTTGATTTGGATATGGCCAAACAAACGACGCACTGTGATTCGAGAATTCTCAATGGAACGAAATTTTCAGGCAACGTCCAAACCACGCTGAATATACCGAAACTCGTTGTGTGGTTTTGAAATTCATGTTGTAAAGAATAAGTAGTAAACAATAAAATTATTCAATACAAACTCGTTTGATCTTGGAAGTCGAGCAGCGTCGGGCGCGGTTAGTACTTGGATGGGTGACCGCTTGGGAACACCGCGTGTCGTTGTCCCGCTGACGGCAAGGATGAGATAGCTTATAGATCGAGATAGCGAAAAATTGTACTGGGCAAAAACATTGGCAAATAGATTGCAAATAATACTGTAATCGAGAAACTTTCGGAATTCCCGAATTTTTCATACACTATAATATCTACACCTGCTAATAAGGATCATGAATGAGCTGGGTTATAGATCTAGACATCAAAAAATTGTTCTGGGCAAAAGATTTTACAAATGGGTGGCAAATGATACTGTCATCGAGAAAATTTCAAAATTCCTGGATTTTCCAAACACTATAATGTCTAGACCTGCTAACAGAGATCATGAATTGGGATCGAGATATCGAAAGATTGTACTGAGCAAAATTTTCGAGAAAACTTCCAAATTCTCATAGATATTGACGATATATAAGGATAAAAATAGTTTTTTCGCATATATATGGGGATTTTCTTATGATGGATTTTTTTTTGTATCCATCAAACTAAGCACGTGATGTATGTGTAATGTGTATCGGCGTTTCTCGATTTGGCAAAAAACAAAAATTCATTGTCTATACCCACCAATACGGAATGTGAGCACATTGTACGGACCGGGCTGCGTTTAGCCATTCCCCCGTACAGTACAGAGCACACCGTCCGATATAGTGCTCTGAGACGCACTGGACTTTGTTTCTGATTTATTTCACGCCGACACAACAAACCCCAGTGCATTCCAGAGCAAACGGTTGCATTTTTTTGACACTAGTCCTCGTTGGAATAGAAGGAATGTTAAGGATGGTTATTCACAACCATTGGTTTTTTTTCCAAACACCTACCTCCTCTTCCTATCCTCCCTAGGAACTCACGATGTTCCACGAACATTATAGGAAATGCCTTTCGTGTGCTCCAAGATATGAAAAAAATACAAGTCACATAGGTACCTACTGTTACAAATATGAGGATAACAGTCACCTACCTTCTGTCAAATTTTGAGGACAACAGTTGTAAGTATATAATTTTGAAATCATACTCATTATACTCATACACACAGAAAAGTAAATTTTATAACAACTTTTGGATCAATATGAAATAATGTCATTTCTATCATCAACTGTATTGAAATAATTCAGCAAGCAGTTTGAAATCATTGCAAACAGCACCATACTATGGAATAGAGAAATGTCAGGTTCAACTTCGCATGGTTGCGATAACGTCAAACATACATATATAATGAATTCATCATTGAGTTTGACGTTATGATATTTTATTTTTTATTAGTGCGAGATAATCATGGAGAAAGTATACTGTACAACATATATTCCAATCTCGCGAACCGAAATCCTCGTCTAAGACTTGAACTACAAACTTTTCGCGCGTTTGTAACAAACCAGATTTTTCATAAAATTGATTTGAATGATATTAATTGCTTGTTGAATGATTTCAACACAGTTGATCGAAATGGCGAAGGTTAGTGTTAGTAGTATTTTTCATATATAACGCTAGTTACAATTATCTGAAAAGTTCAGATCTCGAATTCGAGTTCAATTGATTATTCAGTCCGCTTACGCATATACGTACATACTAAATTGCATATCTGAGTAGGTATAACAAGGAAAAAACATATATTTTATGCGAGGAGGTAGTGCATAATTTCTGCGTGGAGCTTTGTATAGCATTTAGGTATATAGCAATGAGCGATGCTGCTCTGAAACGTACTGGGGTTTGTTGTGTAGGCGTGAAATTGATCATGAACAAAGTCCAGTGCATTTCAGAGCACTATGTCGGACGGTACGCTCTATGCTGTTCAGGGGCTACTGAAAAATCTGATCGAGATACGGAAAAATTTTATTGGCAAAAAATTGTTCGAAAATTTTTGACGAAAAAAAAACATTCAATTTCCCCAAATTTCAAGGTCACGAAAATCTTAGGAAGGGTTAGGTTTTTTTTTTAGGTTAGGTTAGGTTAGGTTAAGTTAACGAAAAAAAAAACATTCAATTTCCCCAAATTTCAAGGTCACGAAAATCTTAGGAAGGGTAAGTTTTTTTTTTTTTTAGGTTAGGTTAGTTAAGTTAGGTTAGGTTAGGTTAGGTTAAGTTAGGTTAGGTTAGGTTAGGTTAGGTTAGGTTAGGTTAAGTTAGGTTAAGTTAGGTTAGGTTAAGTTAGGTTAGGTTAGGTTAAGTTAGGTTAGGTTAAGTTAGGTTAGGTTAGGTTTTTTTTTAGGTTAGGTTAGGTTAAGTTAGGTTAGGTTAGGTTAAGTTAGGTTAGGTTAAGTTAGGTTAGATAAGGTTAGGTTAGATAAGGTTAGGTTAAGTTAGGTTAGGTTAGGTTAGGTTAGGTTAAGTTAGGTTAGGTTAGGTTAGGTTAAGTTAGGTTAGATAAGGTTAGGTTAGGTTAGGTTAGGTTAGGTTAGGTTAGGTTAGGTTAGGTTAGGTTAGGTTAGGTTAGGTTAGGTTAGGTTGTTCAAAAATTTTTGACGAAAAAAATATCCAATTTTCAACGTACTTTTTGAGAATGATAATAATAACTACGAATTTTTAATATTTCATTACTTTTGGTGAATATACCTACTTAAATAATGGAGCTACATATGGTATGGCTTTCTACGAAATGTTAGGAACTGATTTGTCTATCCGGTGGTCAAAAAAATTTTCCAAAAAAATCATTAATAACAAAGATATGGACCAAAAACCGGAAATTCCAAAACAGCGTTTTTCGGTCTCATTTCGATTAAGTGATCATTTTAAGTCCTTTCATCTGACACCCATATTGTGGCAGTGCATTGAAAATCACTATACCGCCATCTTGGATGGTCCGCCATATTGGATTCTGAATGACGTGATATCCTTTTTCAGGTTCCTCTCAACAAGTCCTTCCATTCGATACCCATATTGTGGCAGTGCATTGAAATTCACTATACCGCCATCTTGGATGGTCCGCCATATTGGATTCTGAATGACGTGATATGATTTTTCAGGTTTCTCTCAACAAGTCCTTCCATTCGATACCCATATTGTGGCAGTGCATTGAAAATCACTATACCGCCATCTTGGATGGTCCGCCATATTGGATTCTGAATGACGTGATATCATTTTTCAGGTTCCTCTAAACAAGTCCTTCCATTCGATACCCATATTGTGGCAGTGCATTGAAAATCACTATACCGCCATCTTGGATGGTCCGCCATATTGGATTCTGAATGACGTGATATGATTTTTCAGGTTTCTCTCAACAAGTCCTTCCATTCGATACCCATATTGTGGCAGTGCATTGAAAATCACTATACCGCCATCTTGGATGGTCCGCCATATTGGATTCTGAATGACGTGATATCATTTTTCAGGTTCCTCTCAACAAGTCCTTCCATTCGATACCCATATTGTGGCAGTGCATTGAAATTCACTATACCGCCATCTTGGATGGTCCGCCATATTGGATTCTGAATGACGTGATATGATTTTTCAGGTTTCTCTCAACAAGTCCTTCCATTCGATACCCATATTGTGGCAGTGCATTGAAAATCACTATACCGCCATCTTGGATGGTCCGCCATATTGGATTCGGAATATTTTCACACACTTAATCGTGCATTGTCATCCAAACTAAACGTGTATGCAAAATTTCAGCTCAATCGGTTGAATATATCTAACTCAAAATTGAGTTCAAAAATTCCACCCGAAATAACATACATACATACATACATACATACATACATACATCCATACAAACACTGCAAGTTGAATAAGAAGCTTAGAAAAAACATCTGAATTTGTATGTGAGGAAGAATTTCCAACGAGTAGAGAACTTTTTTTTTTATATTTTCAATTTTGGAAAATAGATTTATTCCTGATGGAAAGTTCAGGAACATCAGATATCCAATTTTTACAGTGGCATACAAAGTATAGCGGATACATTCGATTTTGCTCGAGAGTGTTAAGAACCCCTATCCCAAATGATATCGAAAATTATTATCGAGAAAAGTATACCAAATATGGAAACTACGTTCCAATATCTATTTTCATCTATTAACGAAAAAATCAGTTTTTCGCACGACGTTCTTCGAAAATATTGAGAATTTCCTTTCGTGCGCTCCGAGAGATGGAAAAAAAAATTTTAACATCATTCATATAATCTAACTAGTCTCGTATACGATTGAATGAGTTCAATATCTGATATTTGTGACTGGGCCTTGCATAAGGAATGACTTCCTGTCTCAGCAATGAAGATATTCATAAGATGAAAATTAATGGATTTTCGAACGTCGTTGTCGATTCTAGTAAGATTTTTTGGTACGATTTTCGATCGAAATAAAGGTAGTTTGCCTCTGAGCACAATTTATATCATTTGACATACCTCGTATACGACTGGCAAAAAATAATTATGAATCATTTGCAATTTCGGTTTCAGACCAAGAGACAAATTTTTTATGACGAACATCTTATTTTCCTGGAATTGATTATAAAAAATTATTCCATTCGTAACCAACTTCTTCAAACATACTGTATACTCGCTTGCAGCATTCATATATGAATGTGAAATCCACATATTTGCCGAAAGCGCCATCCTACACTAGCCAGGAGTATCCTCATCGTTCAGTTCGGTCAGCTATTAAACCACTGACTAACGGATGAATTTTTCCGTTTTAATATGCAGTCATTCGACCAATTACTGCTCTCCGTTAGAGCATTTCATGTGGGCGGAGCCTAAGAGATTGTGGGTTTTCAGTTGAAATTGTGTTTGATGTCGTTCGACCAATCAATGTCCTCGGATCTACTAGGCGGAGCCTAAAAGAATTCTAGCTGCTTGTATAAGTATTCGATTTTCCAGGTGCGTTCCACATTCTCTCACGAATTCAGTGTGTGTTTGATCGCATAGAAATTCGATAGATTATTACGATATGCCGCCTAAAGCAAGTGGAAAAGCAGCCAAGAAGGCAGGAAAAGCACAAAAGAATATCGCCAAAACCGATAAGAAGAAGAAGCGCAGGAGGAAGGAGAGTTATGCCATTTACATTTACAAAGTGCTGAAACAAGTTCATCCTGACACTGGTATATCTAGTAAGGCGATGAGCATTATGAACAGCTTCGTCAACGATATTTTCGAACGTATCGCCGCAGAAGCTTCTCGCCTCGCTCATTACAACAAACGTTCGACTATCACGAGTAGGGAAATCCAGACGGCAGTGCGACTTCTGCTTCCCGGTGAATTGGCCAAGCACGCTGTGAGTGAAGGCACCAAAGCTGTTACCAAATATACCAGTTCCAAATAATCTCATCGATACCATATTATATTCACAAATCGGTTCTTTTCAGAACCACAACACATATCTCTTCGAATTCGTAGTCTTGTGCATGAATATTACTTTGGTCGAATTTAATAGAGGTTATTTTTCATTTACTAATAATAGAAGTTATAGTCTCAAGTGTAAAATGGGATTATCATTAGTACTACCACCGGTGGCAAGTCGAACTATTCGAACTATTATATGTGAGCGTCCTTGTTGTTTCGACTAATGATACGGCAAGAGATAACGGCATACGAATGTGTTCGATGACCGAGCTACCTCATAGGACATGGTCCATTCAATAGGTAATAGGGTGAATTGGTCAGAGCGAGCAAGGATTCGATAGTTCGAATTGATGCTGGCATAGTCTATAGCTTTTCGTTATTGTGTGTTTGTTTTTTCGAGGGATATTCATAAAGAAAACACACACACACACACACATTGAGACCATTCGAATAGCATATTGCATGTCGATGCTTCGAACCAAATCATTGAACGTGTTAGCTGGCCTGAGCCTATTGGAGTGTTTCGAGCGCAGGACACGCCCACTTCGTGCAGATATACTCGCGAGTCGTTCAGTCGCACCGAACCGTTCAGTCTTCGGGCCGACCTATCCACTGCAAAATCGCGTATTTTGTGAATTTTTCGACTTTCCAATGCGTGTTCAGATTGCTGGGGTAGATTGGGAAGATCATATCAGCCCTTTCTTTATTGCGTCCACAATAATGTGCCTCGTTAGACGCAATATCTTTAGTCAACTGGTTTGTTTTCCATATTATGATGTATGTAAAATTCATTTTTTGTTTTATATATGATCCTCGACGAGTGGCTGGTCATTGTATGGAGTGTGTACATGGCCGCCTATCGAGAGTGATTAATACCGTCGGTTATCATACGGAGCTCCTTATTCTGCAGCAAAATAGTCATCTATTTACATGTCAAAGTGAAGTATCACAAAATACTGAACAGGGGTACGTTAGAGTTGCGTCTTATTATTTGTTTTTCTTTCAATCACTAATTTATTCATTGTTAGCGAGGAGTTCCTTGCCAACAGCGGGTACGAACTTCGGATTGCTGCTCTGGCCTTTGCTAATAGGTATTATTAGGTGTTAGCAAATAAATTGATATACCTGTCTAAAACTACCCTCTGGTATTTCACAACGGCTTTGCCCTTTATCTCAGTGTTTCGACATGCAACACGCAAATATCGGAATAGTGTTTGCGTATTTTCCAGAGAGATTTATTATTTCACTTTTCATGGGATTATCCCGTTCTTTCCGTTATTTTCAGATAATGATATTAATAGAGGATTCACAAATTCCACGAGAGTTCGTCCATTCTTTGTGCATGCATCCAGTATCATAGTTGTCGCTAAATTTGTTTCAATTAACTCCACTCACCTCCTCTCTCCATTTTCCTTCAATCTACGGACCAAAATATCTTTCGTTTCATATGAAGCTATTATGTTGTGAGCGCCGTAAGAGATTGTTTCATTGCTGGTAGTTACGAAACGAAGGGGAAGCTTATCAGAATATATTACCATCCCACGTATTACTAGAGAACTCGAATGTATTCTGACGTCGAACATTTCAACTTCTTGAAGCATCGAATATAATTTTTATCGATATGTTTTCTCTTCATGAATAGGTACATGAAATATGTTGACTATCAAATAGGTAACGATGAGGTATCGAATTTGAGGTTGACACTGTGCGAGGAAATCGCTCGTACTCAAATTAGCCATGGGAATTACATTAATATTTTCATGACATATTTCGGTAGATACATGTAGTTGTCCATGAATGATCGTTCCGAATGCCCATTGCTAGATTTTGTAGTACTTTTTTCATGAATCCTCCGACAGTTGGACCGAAACCAATGAGAGTTCAAATTTCATCGCACGCTACTTCTTTCTCTTTTCGATGGAAATAGGTGTTTTACCCATCGAAAATTCACCTATGATACCTAGTATCCGTTCTCGATATTGTTGTTATTGAACTTTCGATGGCGATTTGACACCAGTCATTCCAAAACATCTATGCGAACACGTCGCCAGCAGAAAGGAAGCCGTCAATATCACCGTGCTCGCAACCAGCGAGCGTTTAGTCTTCCGTCCGACCCAGTACGGCGAGAGTATCTGTTCGAAGTATAAATAAAAAATGATGTCGTCGATCTGGCTACTTGCAATTCATTATTTTGCCTTGATTTTTGCACTATTCGATAGAGGAATCATTTCCCTATCGAATGACACCACTACCATTCAAATCGGCCTAGAAATGGCCTAGTTATTTCAGTTTTAGATTTTTCACTCGACTTTCGAGATTGTGGCCAATCAGGGACGTCAGACTTGCTGGCGTCTCTCGTAGAAAAATCAATAATTCCTTTTAACGGACTTTTGGGCTTTCAGCCAATGGCCGTCCGAAGACAGCGTTTTTCTCGAGGGGCGGAGCCTAAGAGAATTCCATTTTTATGATAAAACTCGGCACTTTTTGCCAGAGGTCAGCAGTCTTTTTCTTTTAGGGTGTCACGCTGTTTCTGGCTTGATTGATTCGCCTTGCTGCGTAGCCGATTTCCTAAGAGATAGTTGAAAACGATCGTCCCATTTGCGTGAGGTCGTTATTAGGCTCATAGATTTGGGGAGCGATAAGGTCGCACCCAAATATTTCGATAAAGAATTCGTTTGCTGTTTGCATGAGCGCAATTATCATTGCACCGCCATACAGTATATACCCTGACACAAGAAGAAAGAAGAAAGAAGAGCTCCAGTTAAATACTAGGTTGGAAAGACTACCATCAGCGTAAAGTTGAGTCTGGCTTTACCCCTAGTATACGTCGTTGCATTCCATTGGTATTTCGGGATAAATATCTCTGGAAAGCCGTCTCAGCTCCTGACCCTACGTTAGTAGTTTACCTTGGTAAATGAACACACTGCACAGGCTGGAGTGACGTTAAACGAGTATTGAGTTCTTGCGAGACTCTCGGACGCGACGCGAATTAGGATTTCCCTGACTTTGTGTGTCGTAGGCCTTCTGCCAAGTTAGGTCTAGGACGATAGGGAACGATCTTGGTCCGGTGCAACGCCGACGTGGTGGCCTTGATCGGTTTGACGGAAGTTCTTTAGCTTTTGTGATAGGGAACTAAAATCAGACATCCATAATAATAGCGTACCGTCATTTCTCTTAAACCTAATAAACTGGGTAAATATAATATATCGGGAATATTGTATGAGAGAGAGAGACTGATAGAGAGTGAGTCCTGATAGAGAGAAGTTTGTTCGAATCCAATCCTACTTGTTTCTTCAGAGGATCGTGGTGTTGATTGGTACAGAGGAATCCAAAACCCTGAGAGTAGGGTTAGTCGTGGCAAATTAAGATATTCTTTTCATTGAATATGGATTCTGCCAAATCAACGATGCGCCATAGATGTCATGGCGCCCGGCAACGTGGGGCTAGTTTGCAAGATTCGGCCGATGTTTTTGGAGATGATCGATTACATGCAGTTCAGGAAGGTGGAGTAGTAGATGGAGCTAGAGTTCGTCGATTACATGAATTTCGAGTACATGAGATCCGGCATGGTGCGTCCGATGTAGGTAGTGTTCGAGTTCATGATGTTCGACGATTTGATGTTCCTGTATGTGTTCCTGCTGATGTACAACTGGAGAGTGCTACCAGTATGCAGCGATTACCTGAGATCCAGCAAGCATTGGAGTCGGTTTTAGAGTTCTGCGGGAGTGTGTTGGAACAATCCACTCAGAGGAGTGGACGAACCCACACAAGTAGGTTGGAAGGTTCGATAGGTGGAAATCCGTTTTTGACTTTAGGTGATCAAAGTCAATGGCGCCCTTTTGAGAGTGAAGTTGTCGAAAATCCTGTGGGATATGAATCCAGGTTAGTCGATTCGATAAACGAACTGACTAAAGCTATTCGCGCTTTAGGTAGTGAGAAGTCGAAGTTGTGTTTACCCGATTTCAGTGGTACTGATTCGGAAGACCCTGAAAAATTTATTTCAGAGTGTGAATTCGAGTTTGCGAAAGACTCGAGTATTGGTCGAGATAAGTTTTTCGTATTTGCGAGGAAGAGACTGAAGGGAAAGGCCCTCGGTTGGTTGCGGTCGATGTTTGGAGATTTGCGGATTACGTGGGAGAATTTCTGCAATAGGCTGTTGCAGAAATTTAACAGTAAAACGGTCATTGCACGTCTGATATCCAAATTATACGGACAATCACATCAGGGGAAGTGTTCGCCTGAGTGCTTCATCGCTGAGAAATCAGCTTTGGCTCAGAGGATTGCTCCGGATATGACGGAATCAGAACTGATCGAGTTACTGATACCACAGATGAAGCCTGGAATTCGAGTATTTTTGGTAGCAAGAAAATTCGAGAGTTTGGAGGAGTTGACTCGAGTGGTGAGCCTTATTTCTGAGGATCAGAAATATTTTGGGTTTGGTTTTTTCGGAGATTCTACTGGTTTTGGAAACGGTGTTGTTCCCCAGGAAGAAGATGTACGTCCGAGAAAGAAGAGGAGTCGAGGAAGAAAGCGGAGTTTTCCGGTTGTTGAAGTTGTCGATAGTTCGGAGGATAGTCGAATGGAGCAGTGCGATGCCATTACCTCGCAGAAAGTTTTCCGGAAGGACCGAGTATGCTGGAGGAATAATGATGAAGCTGCAGTTCGAAGAGTATCCTGGTCGAATGAGAATAGGGACTCTGTGGAATCATTGCACAGTGTTGATTCCACAGAGAGTTTGAACGACAGAGGTGATGTCGTAGATTTCGGTGATGAGAATTGTGGAGTTGAGAATTCTCAACTAGTAGGTGAGATGGATCTTCGGTGTGATCATCTCTCTACTGTCTACGAAGATGAAGCCGAGAAGCAGTTGCAGGATGAAGAATTCCCTGAGGCTGATAGAGTTGAATATTCTCAACATGGAGTTGAGAAGTTGAATCCCTTCGTACCATGGTTGAACGGTGTTCCCATGTATGCTGAAGAAGAGGAGTATGCCGATTGTATACCGGACCGTATACAGGGTGATTCTGAGTGTGACTTGTTCCCCTCAGAGGTCGAGTATATAGCGAAGGTGAAGAAGAAGAAGAGGAATACCAGGCCGTTATCCAGGGTGGATAATCGAGTTATTGGGTCTCGTTTTTAGAATTGTACTTCGGATATCGTGAGAATAGTGAAAAATTCTATTACTCACGTCGTTGTTTTTGGAGTTGAGTTGTTGAGATTTTTCAAGTTGAGAAACACTTGAAAAGTTGAGAAGTTGAGTTGTTGGGAATTTTTCGAGTTGAGAAACACTCGAAAAGTTGATAGTTGAGAAAAGTTGAGAAAAGTTGATAGGAGATTCGGATGTTGGATTCCCGAATAACTCCTGGGTTGTTTTGTTTCGAAGCTGCGTATGAGGAGTAGACTGGACATAGATCCAGATCTATGGTTTTGTTTTCGAAGTTTTTGGAATTTGGTGGTCCAGCGGTTGCTGTAGATGTTCCCACTGGTTAGTGGATGAGCTGATGGATGTTCCAGCTGGGAGTTGAATCTAAGGGGGGTGGTGATGTGATGAGTTCCCACCACGGATTCAAAATAAGGATGGATTGGGAATGTGTTCCCCTAGGGTTTTCAGGTTTCGGTAATACATAGTGTTTTGTATTTGAGTGTCGCCGACAAGTGCCCTAGAGACATTCTACGGAGTGATGGTCCCCTTATAGACGTTCTACGGAATGTGTTCCCGAGAGTGAAGTGGAGTGCTGCCCTGGACGTTCTTCGGAATGAGAAGCAGATGATACTTGGACTTGTGTACATATACGCCTACAGTTGTAGTTGAATGGGATGAATTTTGACGAATACTCGTGGAACGGATGAATGAGATCTTAGGGAAAAGATCAGGGATGATTCACGATGGATCAGAAGTATGAATGCGGATGTACATTAATTCTGATTTGCCTGTTTAGCTACAACGACCTATGATGAAGCCACAGCGAGCCTCACCGAGCCTCGACGAGCCTCACCGAGCCTCAACGAGCCAAGGAGCACCAGTATCATTGCACCTGCTTGATAAGCACTCGACAATTGTTCCTCTCGGAACAGCGACCTTAAGGCTTTTCCAATCTATGAGCTAATACCGTTTTAAGGGGGGTGGTGTCGTCGATCTGGCTACTTGCAATTCATTATTTTGCCTTGATTTTTGCACTATTCGATAGAGGAATCATTTCCCTATCGAATGACACCACTACCATTCAAATCGGCCTAGAAATGGCCTAGTTATTTCAGTTTTAGATTTTTCACTCGACTTTCGAGATTGTGGCCAATCAGGGACGTCAGACTTGCTGGCGTCTCTCGTAGAAAAATCAATAATTCCTTTTAACGGACTTTTGGGCTTTCAGCCAATGGCCGTCCGAAGACAGCGTTTTTCTCGAGGGGCGGAGCCTAAGAGAATTCCATTTTTATGATAAAACTCGGCACTTTTTGCCAGAGGTCAGCAGTCTTTTTCTTTTAGGGTGTCACGCTGTTTCTGGCTTGATTGATTCGCCTTGCTGCGTAGCCGATTTCCTAAGAGATAGTTGAAAACGATCGTCCCATTTGCGTGAGGTCGTTATTAGGCTCATAGATTTGGGGAGCGATAAGGTCGCACCCAAATATTTCGATAAAGAATTCGTTTGCTGTTTGCATGAGCGCAATTATCATTGCACCGCCATACAGTATATACCCTGACACAAGAAGAAAGAAGAAAGAAGAGCTCCAGTTAAATACTAGGTTGGAAAGACTACCATCAGCGTAAAGTTGAGTCTGGCTTTACCCCTAGTATACGTCGTTGCATTCCATTGGTATTTCGGGATAAATATCTCTGGAAAGCCGTCTCAGCTCCTGACCCTACGTTAGTAGTTTACCTTGGTAAATGAACACACTGCACAGGCTGGAGTGACGTTAAACGAGTATTGAGTTCTTGCGAGACTCTCGGACGCGACGCGAATTAGGATTTCCCTGACTTTGTGTGTCGTAGGCCTTCTGCCAAGTTAGGTCTAGGACGATAGGGAACGATCTTGGTCCGGTGCAACGCCGACGTGGTGGCCTTGATCGGTTTGACGGAAGTTCTTTAGCTTTTGTGATAGGGAACTAAAATCAGACATCCATAATAATAGCGTACCGTCATTTCTCTTAAACCTAATAAACTGGGTAAATATAATATATCGGGAATATTGTATGAGAGAGAGAGACTGATAGAGAGTGAGTCCTGATAGAGAGAAGTTTGTTCGAATCCAATCCTACTTGTTTCTTCAGAGGATCGTGGTGTTGATTGGTACAGAGGAATCCAAAACCCTGAGAGTAGGGTTAGTCGTGGCAAATTAAGATATTCTTTTCATTGAATATGGATTCTGCCAAATCAACGATGCGCCATAGATGTCAAATGAGTTACGGTCGCAGACCACATACTTTCATAGAGCTCCGCTAGTAGCAAGTGTCGTTAGTATTTTGACAATTATTCATCGAGATTTATCGAACCGCTATGGCTGATATTGATAATCAGAATTCCGTTGCCTCTGCAACATCTGCCACCTCGTCACCTCAGGCACAATCTCCTGCAAAAAAAGAGAAGAAAGTTAAAAATCCTAGAGCGAAACCTTCTCATCCACCAACTTCCGAAATGGTGAACAATGCCATCAAAGGACTGAAAGAGAGGGGTGGTTCATCTCTTCAAGCAATTAAGAAGTACATCGCGGCGAATTATAAGGTCGACGCAGAAAAAGTTGCTCCTTTCATCAAGAAGTACCTGAAAGCCTCTGTGGCTTCTGGATCGCTAGTTCAAACTAAAGGCAAAGGTGCATCTGGTTCTTTCAAGCTGTCTTCTGCTTCTTCGGCCACTTCAAAGCCTTCAGTAGGTGAAAAAAAACGTAGTGTTGCTGGAGGAAAACCTAAAAAATCGACCTCAACGAAACGTGCTGTTTCCGGTGATAAATCGAAGTCTCCCACCAAGAAGGCGTCGTCTCCGAAAGCCAAGAAAACTACTTCCGATAAAAAAACTGTTACGTCGAAAGCAAGAAAACCTGCCGCCGCCAGTGAAGACAAGAAATTAGTTGCTGCCAAATCAGCAGCGACGACCACATCGAGTAAAGTTAAATCTCCTTCCAAAGCGAAGAAATCTGGTAAAGGAGCTCCGACTAAAAAGCCGAGGGCACCTAAACCAAAAACAGCCAAGGTTGCTACTTCCACGGGGGCTTCTTTGACAAAATCCAAGAAGGCAGCATCCCCGAAAAGGAAGAAGTAATCTCTTTCTCGAAATATCTCGACGAAAAAACAAATGGCCCTTTTCAGGGCCACAAATGATGTTCGATAGATTTCTAGTCTGCGTTATTTGTTCATTACACACAGTCATTCACATTATGTTCGCGTTGCTTTTTGTTTTCTTCTTCAGTAAGGCAATCTTCGAATATCCTGATCGATCTGAATATTGAAAATCAAGCGTCAAAGTCAACGATATACGTGCATTTCAGATCATTGTTCATCAAATAGATTGCTCTAATGAGTAGAACTCACCGTCCCGAAATTGTTGCAAAATTAATTCATTGACCTTTTATATATTAAGTACGCAATCCCCCAACTATCACTGATACCTACAGGCGATCCTCGTTTCGTTAATCTAGGAAATTACTTGTATTTATGCATAAAAATAACTAGTCGAAAGATCGAATGATGAAACGATGTGAAAGTGATCGAATTCATTGAAAGTATTTTGTGGTTCTGAAAAGAACCGTTTTTTTGTATATTCTATTTGCCTTCTGCGATAGCCTTAGGCACGTTCTCCTCTGATACGTCGAGCCAATTGAATGTCCTTGGGCATAATAGTGACACGTTTTGCGTGAATAGCGCACAAATTAGTATCTTCGAACAGACCAACAAGGTACGCTTCGCTAGCTTCTTGTAAAGCCATGACTGCTGAACTTTGGAATCTCAGATCAGTTTTGAAATCTTGTGCGATTTCTCGGACTAAACGTTGGAATGGTAATTTCCTGATCAGCAATTCAGTACTCTTCTGATAACGACGGATCTCACGAAGCGCAACCGTTCCAGGCCTATAACGATGTGGTTTTTTCACTCCGCCAGTGGCTGGTGCACTTTTTCGTGCAGCCTTGGTGGCCAATTGCTTGCGGGGAGCTTTACCCCCAGTAGATTTACGAGCCGTTTGCTTGGTACGAGCCATTCTGGTTCACTACGTAACGAAACGTACACTGTTGTAGATAACATGATTCGAGGTGTATTTATAGATACGCTGACCGAACCAGGTCTCGTCTGATTGGTCGAAAACGTAAATGTGGGCGTTGCCCGAAAGTCTACAAAACCCAGGTCAAAATGTTTTCAGGACAGTCTCACTTGTACTCTCCAAGTGATCGTATCGTCTATTTTGTGTGTTTTTATCTCTTTATCTATAAAGAAACATGACTGGCCGTGGCAAAGGAGGAAAAGGATTGGGAAAAGGAGGAGCCAAACGTCATCGTAAGGTTTTACGTGATAACATCCAAGGTATCACGAAACCGGCAATAAGGAGATTGGCCCGTCGCGGTGGCGTCAAGAGAATCTCTGGTTTGATTTACGAGGAAACTAGAGGAGTGTTGAAAGTATTCCTAGAGAACGTTATCAGAGATGCTGTTACCTATACGGAGCACGCCAAAAGGAAGACCGTCACCGCCATGGATGTTGTATATGCATTGAAACGTCAAGGCCGCACTCTGTACGGATTCGGAGGTTAAACATTCTATTTCTGCTCTCTCTCTCTCTAACGACAAAAACGGTTCTTTTCAGAACCACAAAATAACTCTGTAAAGAAATCGTTCGAATGTGCAAAGTTCAATATTCTGTAATCGATCACGTGTCTGGTGTGACATTATTTCGGATCCTGGTGTTCCATTCTTGTCAGATGGATACCGGATGCGAAATGCGAAACGGATTTCAGAAACGCTGAAGAACATTGTAAGAGTTGACGATCCCCCAACCGATACTGCAATTCAATTCATCAATTAAATCAACGAAATAGGCCCGTTTGCGTCAGACGTTACTGACGGACACGGGGAAGGTGCATGACA